TAAATCCCCCAGGGCCAGACACCAGACCGCCCCTGAGGGATGCCCCTGAGCCAGAGCCCACTGAAACTGCCCCCACTATCCCTTCCTCAGCCTGCCCAGCGCGCCTACACTGCCTTGTCTATTCCTTCCAGCAAAACCCCAATAAAGGCTCTGGCCCGTGCTTTCCCCTCATTCCTGACGCTGAGGCCTGAGTGGAGGTGTGGCGCTGCTCTTGGGAAGCGTGACAAAGTTGTGTTGTTGTTGTTGTTGTTGTTGACTGGATTTAGTGGCTTTGTCGGGAAGAGCCAGGATTACAGTGGATTTAAGAGTTGGCACTGGGGCCCGTCTTCTTGCCAAAGGCAGGCACGACCGTGACCGAGTGCCGGTTGCCCTCATCCACTGCTTGGCTCAGCCTGTCGTCTTCTTTTTTTCCTGTTTGGCCACCGTGGGAGTCCGCCCTCCGACTCGGCCAGCCTGCGCCAGGGATCCACAGACATTCCTCCAAGCATGTGTGCGGCTCCTTCCAGGCCGGCCAGAGCCTCCACTCCACACCGACCCAGGGTAGCCTCAGCCCCTCCAGGTGCGCCTGCCAAGAGAACGACTGGATCTTCGGGAGTGACGCCCTCCGGTGAGGCCGTCTCCTTGCCAGTCACCGCCAGAGTGAGTACAAAGACCCGAACCGCTGGCCTGAATAAAAGCAAAAATCCTGGGTTCGTTTGCAGGAAGACATCTGGAGCTTGGTCTCCTCCCTGGGGCTCTCCTCCTCCACCTCCTCCTCCTACAGCAGAGCTCCTCTTCCGCAGCTCCTGCCTCTTCCACCCCTCCCCTCCAGCCCACGGCCAGGCCTGGGTCCTGCAGAGGCCAGCCTTGGACCAGATCAAGAACAGGACCTTGACCTCACTTCCTCCATTTTCCTCAGTGCAGAAGGGCTGGAATCTACCACAGCTCTGGAGAGAACCCATTTGCCTCCAACCAACTTTTTCCAACCACAGGGTGTGACACTCCTTCCTGTGAAGTTGAATCCCCTGAGGCTGTGTATTTGGCAGGCAGGCGGGGGCCGGGAACTCTGGGCTCCTGGCCTGTCCTAGCTCTCCAGGCCCTCGAGGGATCAGTGCGTGGCTTTCCAGCCCAGGGCCCTTGGGGCACCAGTCCTCTGTCCTGCCTCTTCATCCCCGCTGTATAGTTAATGTCCCCCAGGAACCGTCAGCGTCTTCTGGTCTTGTCTGTCTTAGCTGACCACCTGTGGTTCGGAATGTAAGTACGAGTAAGGACGTGACCACACACAGGATGCTGGTGACCCTGACCCAGAGCATGTGATGTGAGTCAGGTCTTCAATCGTGGAGTCACCGCACGGATGACTGCAGCTGGAGCGGGAGGGCGGCTCCGGGAGGAAAAGGCTGGGTGGAAGCGCCAGCCGGAGAAAGGGCTGCAGGCTGGGCCGGAGGGCTGGCGGGTCCAGCAGAGGGGCTCACGGGGTGGGCTGGGGGGGTGGTGTGTCCTGGATCCTGGATCAGCGTGGGGGCAGCCGGGGGAGGAGGGGAGGAGGAAGCCCAAGGAGGTGCTGCAGGAGGCAGGTGGAGATGGGCCCCTGAACGGGGGGAGTGGGGGACAGGGACCCCACAGATGTTTTGGGGGCATGGGGAATGGATCCTTGTCATAGAAGGGGTGCTTTGGCAGAGTTTCTGGAGTCCCTGGTTTTAAAAGAATCACTCACTAGGCTATCTGCTGTCATGTGCTAAATGCTGCCCTTTCGACTCCTGCTGGGGCTTTACAGAACCTTCTGGGAAACTCCTGACACCACCACCTGCTTAGGTGAGTGGTGATCCCCATTCCAAACTGCTGGAGGCCCATGGACTTTGGAGTTGCTCCCAAATCATCATACCCTTGACTGCTTAATTTGTGAATTCCCAAAGACCTCCTACAGTATCGTCAAGATTTCATGATCACCTGGGATGTAAACAGGAAGGTGGTGTCGATCTACTGCTGATTTTCAGCCCAGGGAACTAGGAGGGTGGAGGCTTGACCTTGAGTGCTCTGAGGACGGCAAGGGTGATATTGACATGGACAGCGCCGACAAGAAGCCTGACGGGCTCTCTCCTGTACCTCACGCTCTTCCTGAGGGAACGTGAGGAAGTGGGCCAAGCTTAGAGTTCCTTTCTGGGGGTGAAAATTAAGAATCAAAATGTGACAGAAGACACTGGCCAACTAGAGAAAGCAAACAACACAAGGCATTTGTAGCAAGGGTGGCTGAAGACTGGGAGCACCCCCAAAGCAGCTGACATAATCATTCCAGAACCTCAGGGAGACACCGGAGGAGCCTTGTCCCCAGAAGAGGAGTATCTAGCTGAGTATCTGTGATCCTGCTGACACCGGCCGGCTCTCCAGCTGTGGAAGCTGCCTGGCGAGTGCTGTGTGCTCACCCCACCCCGTCCCCACCTCCTCAGTCCTACACTTGAGGAAGAGCTGGTCTTTGACCAAATTCCTCCTCAGACGTGACTGTCTTCTAACCTCTCTCAGCCTGGACTTGCGCGCTCTCACTATTTTGTGTATCCCACCACCTACACACATTATTTGTAATAATTATTTTTTGTTCAGGCTTTTCCATGTAAAGCAGTTTACATTCATCTTCCCATGACCCGACAAAAACTATGTGAGGAGGGCACACCGGTAGTGGTAGGACTACCTTTTTTCCAAGTAAGGGAAGTGAGCCCAGAGGGCTGGGGACTGGCCCAAGGTCACAACAGCAAGGATCCATATTTGAGCCTTGGTCTTCTGACTCCTTATCAATGCCCTTGACTCCAACATCCATGAGTAAAGTTAATGGCATTTTACCTGTTTTAAAATATCTCCACACTTACGCCTCTGCCATACCCGCACCGCCTGTGCACCGACCCAACCCTCTGATCCATCTGCTGCTCATTCCTCCAACCTCCCAACCTGCTGAAATTCTACTTATCCCTCAAGACGTAGCTTAAACATCATCTCCTCAGTAATGGCTTTCCTCCTTACTCAGGGAGAAGCAATCGTGTCTTCATTCAAAGTCCGGGACAGGTGCACCTGTTCCATGTGTGTCTAGGACATGGATCCACACCCAGCCACAGGGGAGCCCCCGAGAGGGAGTGTCTTTTTAGCTTCCGTAGCAGGAGGCAGGCTCTACCTGCTGTTGAGGGCGCCTAAGACAAGGAATGCCCCCCACCCGGAGAAAGGGTATTCAGGAGCCGGGCAGTGGAGAGGAACGACAGAGCCCACTGGAGCTCCCGCGTCTGGCTGCTTGGTAACATCATCAGTAATTCTCCCCATTCTTACACCGTGAAAATGAAAAAGCTGTCACGGACACAATGACACTATCCCGTGTATAATCAAGAGTGTGTGTATCCTACCCCCCTCTCCCGAGCCTCACTCCCCAGAAAGGGAAACAACCCAGAGTCTTACCAGTGCCTACTTCCACTTCCAGTCCAGGATTTCCAGGAGGTGCCCATTGTCCTCTTGCCCCTCTAACCCAGCGCTGCACGATCTTCTTCCACCCCAAGTTCTCTTTGTAAAACAGATATTCTGTAACATCCCCTTTACTACCCTGGAAAATGAAATTCAGAGGTGAAATCTCCTGTGTACTGTGTAGTAAAGGGGACATAAATAAGTAACTTAAAATAAAATTCAAATAAGTAAATACCCAGGCACAACCCATCTAGGTGTCCTAATAAAAGAGTCAGATGGTTGCAGCTACAAGAATGCAGTCAGTCCGCTACCGGGTGGCTGGCTGGCTTCCACCTTCCACCTCCCACTCAATAGTAAGGACAGTGTATTCAAATTGGCGTTAAGCGGCTTTTGAGAGACTCAGTTTCACCCGGTGTTATGCCCCCTAGCGGCGATGCTGTAGAGAACGACTGCACTGAGCTATTACGGGGCACAGAGTTCTAGACGCCTCTGTGCCTGGCTACTCAGTATTGGCACCAGGTGGGAGCGTGTTGGAATACCGATTCTCGAGCCCTGCCTCACATCTATTTAACAAGATCCTCAGTTTATCTGCATATAAAGTAAAGGCCGAGAAGCCTGGGGGACAGGGTAAGGGAGGAGGCCAGCTGCTTTTTTTCGATATGGCCATCTGGAGGTTCTCTTTATGGGAACTGCCCTAGACCAAGAAGGTATTAGCTTAGGATTTAGCCAGGAAAACAGAAACCACTGACTGCACCTTGAATAGAGGGAATTTAAGGCAAGGATTGATTACACGTGTGACGGAAGACTTGGCTGGAAAGCCAAGCAGGCAGGGGTCCGAGGTGGCAGGAAGCACACTGCCTCAATCCTCAAGGGGGACAAAGAGAGGAGGGGGGTGCCTGGAACCCAGCGTTCCTCAGTGGAAGCTGGTGTGACAGAGGAAGCTCTTTTGCTGCCAGAGACATCAGCGGAGGCAGAGAGTGGGGAAGAGAACCTCCCCAGCTTCCCCCTGCCTCTCTGTCTTCCAGCCTCTGCACGGTGTCTCCCGCTGGCCACACGGAGTCCGAAGTCAGAGGACCTGGGAGGCGTGGAAACAGCCTTCTGGAAGCAGCCCTTGTCTATCACAGGGCAGAGCAGGAGGAGATTAAAGAACAGCATGCCAGACAGGCCCGGAACTGGCACAAAGGCCAAGAGCTCTTTACCGAAAGAATCACTTTTCAAAGAAGTACTCTTTCAAGATACTTTTCTCCAAAGTCCTCGACCTTGCCATGATGACTGCTCCGGAAAGTGCCCCCGCAGTCTCAGACACTTCAAGAAGTGGCCCATCTGGGTCAAGTGACAGAGCTGTGCTCCCTGCCTCCACCACCACGTGACCCCAAGCTCTACACTGTGTCATGGCAGTGCCCCCGCTGTCTCTGGGGGACAACACAAGAATTTCGGTGTGGTGCCCGCCTGCCCTCTCCGCCCTGCACACAGTCACTCGGCTTGAACTGCACCCACCCCTACAGCCACGGTGATCCCCCCCTTCCCACCCCTGCAAAGCCCAGCCCTGACCTTGAGGATCGGAAACCTCACTGTCAGGGGTCTCACCCTCTCTGCCTGGAGACTCTCCATTTTCCTCCTTCAAGGTAAGTGGATAATCAGAAAATGAGAAGAAAACCTGTTTTCACTCCTCATCTGCCCTTTCCACAAGGGGACATGCTCCTTGGTGGGTCAGGAATCTGGGGGTGTCCCCCCCCCCCCAGCCTGGCTAGAGGCTGCTTCAGTTTTACAACCTGCTACGCACCTTTGGCAGACCTGCTTTTTTTTTTTTTTTCTCTTTTTCTAACACTAATAAGGCACATTGAGAAAGTATGGAAAAGTAAAGCAGAAAAAAAATCCACCTATAATCCTGCCACCCAGAGGCAGTGCCTATTAACATTTTGATACATTTCCTTTCCAGATTTTAAATGCATTTTTCTGCAGCTGAGATCATACTCGTATACATAATTTCAGGCTCTGATTTTTTTTTCACTTGTTACAATATTTTCCCATATCATTAAAACTTGGTTGAAAACAGGAATTTTTTTCCATATTAGTTTTTTTTTAAATTATAGAAGTAACCCACACTTACCGTAAAGAATTAGAACAATTCAGAAATATATAGAGGACAAGGCAAAATTTTCCCTTCCCTCCTTCTTTCTCCCCGCCGCTCCCCCCTCCCCAACCCCTGCCAATGCCTCAGAGATAAACCACTTTCAACAGTTTAGCTTCTATCCTTACAGACATTTCTCTAGGATTCATACAAGACAGCCTTTTAACTAATGGCCCACCACTAGCTTTTTTGTGTCACAGCGTAGGTTGGAGACGTTTCCTTACTGGTGCATAGGGATCTGCATTTTAAGAAAGCTGCCCAAATAGTTCATCTACGGAAGTACCATAATTGGCTTTGCCGTTCCCCTGTTAGCAGATACTTACAATGGTTCAATCACCTGTACAATAGGCTTTATGTACAGGCACAAGCATTTCTCCTGGAGGGTGTCCTAGGAGTACAATTGTGTGACAAACTGGGTGTACATCCCAACGCTGTGGGAGATGCTGGAAATCGCCTCCCCTTTGGAAGGTTCTAACTATGACAGTCCCACCCATGGTTGCTTGGCTGTGAAAACTTGCCGTGGTTGTGGGACAGTGCATTGTCTGGTAACCCAGTGGTTGCCAGTTGGTTGAGGACCCAACAGTCTTGGGTTCAAATCCTCGCTCTGCCACTAACTAGCTCTGTGGTCTTTGCTGAGTGGCTTACTGGGTCTTTGTGCTATAGTTTTCTCATTGATAAAATGAAAATGATGATGACAACAGTCCTTTCTACTGGGACTTACTTAAGTCTTCCCCTATTGTTGCACATTTAAATGGCTGAAATTCTTTTAACAGGCTTTCTTCAAAGGGCTTTATCAGTTTTTCCCTTTAACTGGACACCTTTTAAAAGTTTAAATGTTTATTTAATAGTCAAAACACCTGGGGTGCTAAGCTGGTGGAACATGTGGCTCTTGATGTTGGGTTGTGCCTTCGAGCCCCACATTGGGTGTCGAGATTACTTTTAAAAAAATAAAATCTTTAAAAAAAATGTTTAAACAATTTAACAGTAAGAAATACCTATGACCCCTGTCATGTCAATACAACACATTTTTCTTTTTTTCAGATCTGAATAAGTCTTTATTTTTTAGAAACTGATTTCCAGGAAGGCTAAAAAGCAATACCAGGGGGTACGGGTGCAGAATTGGATGTAGTCATTCAAAGCATTCAATTAAGAATATGATGGAGAGCCTGGGTGGCTCAGTCAGTTAAGCATCCAACTCTTGATTTCAGCACAGGTCATGACCTCACCGTTGAGACTGAGCTCCACGTCAGGCTCTGTACTCAGCAGAGGGGGAAGGGTATCTAGTTACGATTCTCTCTCCTTCTCCTTCTGCCCTTCCCTGCTTGTTTTCTCTTTTTCTCTCTCTCTCTCAGAAAAAAAAAAAAAAAAAAAAAAAGAATATGGCAATAGAGAGGTGCCTGGCTGACTCAGTTGGTGGAGCACGTGACTCTTGATCTCACGCTTATGAGTTCGAGCCCCATCCTGGGTGTAGAGATTACTTAAAAATAAAGTTCTTAAAAAATTAAAAGAATATGGCAATACAAATATCTGAAAAGCATGTCTTAGGTGTTTGAAACAAAAACATATGTCATTCCTAACTAACTTGAACTTTATAGCATTTCCTAGACAGGAGAAACAGTTAATATTTGAAAGTCCTGAAAGCTTCTTCCTTGGCTAGTTACATTAGATGGTTTGCCTTTGAGCAAATTCCTTCCTTTTTAAACATGGATAAAATACAACACTTCTTATGATTAAGCACATCACTTCTGCTGTACATCCATACATATACATAATATTTATGATAATGTATATACCGATACCTTCACTTGTACATCAATTGCTCAAGGCACAATTACATGGGTATTTTGGGGCAAAGACAGAGAAAGTTATGATGAAATGACGTCACAGAGCAGGCCCAAGACCACACAGAATTTGAGAAAGTAATACTCGTCGGAACAGATGCCCTACTGTTTCTTTGCATTTCCAGGAAGTGACTCCATAGTCTGGGATCTAATGTTGATTTCCGTCACCTTCAGAGCTCTCTGACGATTTTCCAGATGGATGGTCTCCCGGGCTCCGCTTCGGAAGAGCTGAGAAAATGCTAGCATCTCAAATTATGCAAGTGAGGGCATGGGGCGGCCCCCTGCATTACAGAGGCCATATACAGAGAATGGGGGGATCCCCTCCGGGGGGCCAAGTTGGAAACGGAAAGTCAGCTCTGGCATCAGGCTAGCCCGTAATGAGAACTGAATGTTTTGCCAAAGTCACACATGTAAAAAATAACCGAGTTTACAAGCACCCGGGTAGCCTGGCCTCTGATTTTGTGACCTGCCTTGTCTCAGGCATATGATTATAGGAAACCTGTGCACAGACGCTGGGCAGCTGAGGCAGGCCTTCTGGAGTTCATGGGAGGACAGAGCGGAAGCCTCATGCCGTGGAAACATGCCGTAAGGAGCCTGCCAGCGGCCCTCCTTCAACATAAAGCTCAAAAAAGCAAAAGGCCCCCACCGTTCCTTGTCACTCCATTCAGAGAGGTCTCCAGGCCCACTGCCCTGTGGCTGATCTCACTAAGATGGCCATGAATGCTGCAGCCAACAGAGAAGGCTGCTGGGAGCTCCTTTCCTTAATGGGACAACAAAGATTTCCCTCCCACCATTGTCACTATATATATTAATACACGATGACATATGCACAGCTGTGCATCCCCAGAATCCAGCATGGTGCCTGGCATGGAGAGATGCACAAAAATGCCTTTTATAAGCCTTCAAGGTATTCAAAAGGATCTTTCTGAACAATATAGATGCTCAAAAATACCTTCTTTGAAATAATTTCATGCCATCACACTCGTAGGAAACATCCACATTATTATGACATGCTCAAGTAAACTGGAGGGGATTTGGGGACATCTGTGTGGGACTTGATGGAAAAAGTAATTATGTTTTCTTTACATTAAAGAAGTATAAAAATATAAAGTCATTAGAGAACATATTAAATACTGAATTTGTATAAAATTTTCCAAATAAAATATTTTCAAGTTTTTAATGAGAAACCTGAGCTTGTTTCCATGAACATACTTAAAAAAAAATTTTATAGTCTATTTATTTAACTTAATATATCCATAATCTTATGATTGCAATATGCAATATGAAATTTAATAATGAGATATTTTATTAGATAATTACATTAATACTGAGATATTTTGCATTCTTGTTTTCTTACTAAGTGTAGCGTGTATTTTCACTTGTAAGTGGAATATAACCCATCTCCATCTGGACCAGGCACAGTTCAAGTGCTCAGTGGCCACACGTGGCCAGTGGCTGCCTGATGGCCCAGCACCGGTCTGTAGTGAGGATAGTAAAAATAGCATGGGCATAATTCTTTTAAATCTTTTTTATATGCCTCATAATGGCAATACATAATTGCCAATGGAGATTTTAAAATAATGATCTATTCAAGTTTTTGGTTATCACCATCAATGAGAAATTTTGCCCAAGAAGGAGATAAAAAATTTTAAAGTGTTTTTATCACCCTTCAAATTTTTACAGCAGTTGAAATTATCTTTAAAGAGTTTAACAGCTCTTATGGAAATTTCTTGTGATAAGGCAAAGGATTTCAAACCCATCAAACTTTTTCACACCAACTATTTCAAGATAATGCTGATGGTCTAGTTAGCAGAACAGGCACGTGTTGTTCCAGCCATCCCCACGCCCCTGGCTTGGATTCTGCTCCAAAGGCATGCGGGCTGCGCACAAGGACAGATTCCAGCACGGGGGGAAGACAGAGATCTGGGACCCAGCCCCATGCAGTCCCTCTCTCAGTCGCTTCCTCCCCACATCCCAGTCTCCGTGACCTTAGCTCAATGCTCCCAGGACATTTGAGACATAAGCCCCAGCAGCTCCCTGGGCCCCTGCTCCACCTCATGCACACCTCAGGAGTTTTGGGCATGGGGCATCCAGTGACAGATGTCACTCGTTTTTCTCACTCCCTCTCATACCAGCCCCTCCCCACCCCACACTGTGAAAGCCACTCTCCGAGAAGACCAGATGTTGCGCTCACTACTGCAAGTCACTGCCCAGATGGCTTGCCTACTCCAGACCCGTTGTCTCCACGGACCCGGGTAGTCAGTGACACTGAGAACCACAGACCGCCTTAGGCGGTCAGGAGGCTCTGGGGTGACAGACACTGCCCAGATTCCATTGTCTGCTTCCTTCTTGCTCACGCCGTCCTGCCACTTTGTACCTCTGTGATCTCAGGCAAGTTATCTAATCTATATAGATTTCAGTTTTCATTTCTTTTATTATTATTATCATTTGAGAGGGAAGCGGGGGAGAGGCAGAGGAAGAGAGAGAGAGAGACTCAAGCAGATTCCATGACCAGCAAGGAGCCTGACGGGGGGCTTGATCCCACGACCCTGAGATCATGACCTGACCGAAACCAAGAGTCAGACGCTCAACTGACAGAGCCACCAAGGTTCCCCAGTTTTCTCTTTTCCGAAAGTAGCTTTATTGACGTAGTAGTCACTACAAAAGTCACCATGTACGGTGCACAGTTCATTGGTTTGTAGTATGTTCACAAAGTTGGGCAAAGACTTCAGGTTTTTTTTTTTTTTTTAAGATTTTATTTATTTATTTGACAGACAAAGATCACAAGTAGGCAGACAGGAAGGCAGAGGGCGGGGGGGAAGCAGGCTCCCCGCTGAGAAGAGAGCCTGATGTGGGGCTCGATCCCAGGACCCTGAGATCATGACCTGAGACGAAGGCAGAGGCTTTAACCCACTGAGCCACCCAGGTGCCCCAAGACTTCAGGTTCTTGCCTGGAAACTAAGACAAACATCTGGAAGACTATCATAAGGAAGAAAGGCTGTACTGATTATAAAGAATATCGCCTGGCACATGGCAAAGTCTAAATAAGTGGTCCTTGTTATTGTGATGATGATGATGACAAGGATGACGGGTGAAGAGGGAGCAGCCCAGGATTCCTGGGAATTTGTCACGTGGCTTTGGGGAATCTGGGCAACCCCAGGTCCTCCTGGACCTCCACACTGGACACGAAGCCAACAGGCTCCCCATTAAATGCCCGCAGCCACCTCTGCGTCACATGGGATGTGACAGTGGCTCAGGAGCCACAGGGGCTGCCACACAATTTAAGGCAGGAAGTGGGGAGAAACACCATTTCTTACAGAAAACTGATGGGGGAGAAATTCAAGTCAGCAGCAAGAAAAGTCACTTCCTTGACTTACACTTCATCAACAGCTACCTGCTTTCAGTTGGCTAGGATTTTTTTTTTTTTCTAGAAAAGTTTCTCTCTTGGTGAGCCTGGCTGGCTCAGTCCTGGAGGATATGCCTCTATGCTGGGTGTGGAGATTACTTAAAAATAAAACCTTCCAGGGGCGCCTGGGTGGTGCAGTCGGTTAAGCAGCTGGCTCTTGATTTTGGCTCAGGTCATGATCTCTGGGTCGTGGGATCGAGCCCCAGGTCGGGCTCCGCGCTGGAGTGGGGAGTCTGCTTGGGTCTCTTCCCCCACTTTCCCTCCACCCCTCCCCGCCTCAAATAAATAAATAAATCCTTAAAAAGTAATAATAAATTTTTTTAAAAAGTTTACCTTCAAGATTATTATAATAAGTGTTTATTGTTAATTTTTTGGTATAATCACCTCTCCCCGAGGTAGTATTAAAAGTTTGGGCTCCTTTTAGACTATTTACTTACTAAACATAAAAACGAAGTTATGAGGTAGTTCTGTTTTGCAGCTCACTTTTCTCACTTAAGAATATATCCTGACTACCACTCTATGTTGGTAAACAAACTAAGTTTTAGCAATTGCATAGTATTCTTCAGTGTGGATGTACCATTAGGTATTTATCAAAACCCCAACAGATAGGCACTGAGATTGTTTCACACTTTTTAAAAATTATTATTACTGCAGCGGCTGCTGTGGTGTGCCACCCACGTCCCACCTTTAGGGGAGGGAGGCGCTCACATCCCCAGCTGCTGAGTTGGCCTGCTGTGTCCCTACCTGGACTGGTCCTCAGCCGACAGGGCCATCTGACACACAGTGAATGACCAGTGAGCGCATGTGTGGAAAGCAGAGTACGAAGGCCTGACCCCGTTGGCTCAATGGCATAATTCCAAGGGGCCATTCCAGCTCCAGAACTTTCTGTGAGATTGGGTAAAGACTCATTGCGAGTACATGGAAGCTTAACTTCTCCCTCTGTCTAGTCCTGCTTCCCCTGTTCCTTACAGGAGTTGTTCCAAGAGCGCATCCCTTTAAGCCTCCTACACACAAATCTCTGTTTCGGAGTCTGTTTTCTGGGGAAGCTGACCTCTGATGACCGAAATGGCTTAAACAATTTTTTTTTCTTCCCTGAACAGTTGTCACTAGAATTCCTCTTAAGAAAGGAGGAATAAACCTTTGCCGAATTTCCCGGGGGCTGGTGTGACCTGTGGGAGTGGAGTCGGTGGGGAGAGGAGGGCAGGGGTTCTGCGTGAAGCAGAGGGAGGAATTCCTGCCTGGGCTTGTGTAGAGAGAAGAGTCAAGGGGACCCGAGAAAGAAAAGAAGAGCCAGAGACATGGCAGGAAGCCAGGCCTGGCGAGAAAGCTGAGTACATGGTGTGGCCTGGATGCGAACCTGTCTTGTTTCCCTTCTGCCGTCATGTGTAAACTTGCTATGCTGACAAACTCTGGGTGAGAAGTCTGCTTTGGGTCAAAGGAGCCCAGTGTCACCCAAGGCACCCTGGACCACTGATGGTGCACAGGAGGACACAGGGTCCACACAGGGAGGAGGCCGCGTGAGTGGGGTCCCGGGCTCCCAGAAGTGTGGGACGCAACCGAAAGGTCAGCCTCAGAGACACCCTGGCCACGGTCTCCTGCTCCAAGCAGGTGTGACTTCAGCAAAGCGAGTATCAGGGCAGGTCTGAAGGTCCCAGGGGAACCCGGAAAAGGAAAAGTTCTGTTTTCTGTCACCTCTCTCCCTTTGGAACCCAGGACGCCAAGGCCCCAATGCTCAAAGTGGCACACAGTACGAGGACAGCTAAACGGGGCTGTTGCCAGTGAGAGTGGGGGGAAAGAGGGCCTTGTCCTGGGTCTCCTGTGAGGATCTTACTCAGAGAGAGTAACTTTACCTACTTTGCTCGAATTACCCCCTTCCCTAGTTCATCTAGTGTAGTTATGTGGGCATCTGCCCACAGCCGCAGGTTTTATGACTATAATCCTGGTGAATGGCAGTTTTGTGCAGTACTTTTGATCTTCCAGGCCTCAAGGAAGGATAACATCATAGGTAAGAGGTTGGGTCCCAAAGTTAGATTGGGCTGGGTTTCAAATCTACTTTATTTATGTATTCATTCATTCATTCATTCATTCATTCATTCAAATCTACTTTTAAATCTAACCTTATAAGTCCTCTCAGCCTCAGTCTCCATACCTGTAAAATGGGCTCCTACTAGGCCCTCTCTTCTGGCACTGTTGTAAAGATTAAGGGAGGTAATGAGATGACATTATGGCTCCATAAATTCCATGGTTTTAATATTCCTTGTTGCGGGACACTCCGGTGGCTTCTAGTTGTTGTCTATTATAAATAATACTTTTCTTAGGTAGAAATTGGCATACAGGATCATCCAATGCTTTATAAATGTGTACTATCTAGCTAACTAATAATAGCTGATAATTACCTCATAGCATGGTTATGAGAATTAAATGAATTAATACACAGAAAGTACTTAGAACGGTGCCTGCAAACACAGCATGCTTTGCAGAAGTGTTTGATGGTGTAATTATCCTAATTATTCTTCACCCCTTCACCTGCCCTCCCAAGCGCCCCCCCCCAACTCTGCTCTCCCAACTGCATTTTAATGATATGCTGATGCTCTCTTTGCCCTCTACCAAGCACTTGTCATTTCCTCCAACTCCTGCAGGGAAAGAATCGGATTTGCATCATCTAAAAATTCAGCTACTTCAGAACCTGAAATCAAGTGAAAGGAGCCTCCCGTGGAGTATCTGAGAAGTCTCAGGGCTGCAAGTTCATTTGCTGCAGACATTTGCAGACCCTCCCCCGCATGGCCTTCAGGGCTGGAAGCAGACTGATGAAGGGCTTCTCCCAGAGTTCCAAGGTGGGGGCGGGGGGTGATGTTCAGTGGTATACCTCACCCCAGCACTGGCCCACTCCTCTGGGGAGGAGCACCAGGCTGGTAGCAGACAAAATTGTGAGACTAAAGAAAGGCTACACTTTCCTCCTAGACCTTATTCCTTCCATTTCATTTAGCATTTGCCTTATCGCGGAGACCTCCCAACAGCGCAGAAAGCCATCCAAGCCCGATGCACCTGTCTCAGACACCTACTGGCTGGGCAGCTGGAACAAGGTATTTAATTTCTTGAGCCTCTCTGTTTCCTCTTCTGGAAAACAGAAATAATACCTTCCACACAAAGTTGTCACTGTTCTTTTTAAATTATGGTAAAAATACACGTAACATTTACCATCTTAACTCTTTTTCAGTATCTGGTTTAGCGGCATTAAACTCACAGGGCTGCTTGTGAGGATTAAATGAAAAAATGCATGTGAAGCCTCCAGCACATAAACAGCACAGTGAACACTCAGGGAACCTAAGTTCTCTTTTCTCCTAACTTCTCCTACTGAACAGAGCCCACAGTGTTGTGAAGTAGAGCAAGAAGGCCTTGGTCAGTTTGGTTTGACGTTCAAACCTTGTCCCACCCCTTATCACAGCCCCCAGCCTGCCCCATCTGTGGCTGCTGCTTATCGCTGAACTGAGTTGGTTCTAGGAGCCAAGCTTGTCTGGTGAGGAAGAGTCGAAGCAGCGGGGCAGGCCCAGAGTGTGCTTCCAGAGAGATCTGCTTCACACCCCTGCTGATGGCGCTGGGGTGGCGGGAGCAGCCTTTTCAGGGCTTTTCCAAGCAGGTGAACAAAACTCCAGGGGGCAATCACAGCGAACCTTCCATGTCATAGATGGTCATCCCTGCCATGGCCTGTCAAACTAGGACACGGGAGGTCACTGCTTGGGCTTTTGGAGGGTTTTGTTTCCTGTTTTTTTGTTTTTGTCAGAGCCACATGGGCATATGGTCTTTAAAAAATCACATGATACTAAAATGCTCGTAATGGTCAGCAATGGTCTCCTTTGCCACGCCTTGCTCTTGCCTTTCCAGACACACCATGGTCAACTCTTTTAGCTATTTCTTCTGGTATCTATCTCCACATTTCCAAATACGCTTACTCTCATATTTCTTGTACCAACTTCAGATGGTTTCTGTTGACTTTCTGTTACAGTAGGTGAGGGTTTGACATTTCTGCACGACCTCTGTTCTCTGACCCCAAGTTTCAGTGAGATCAGTGTCCTGTGTGTACATTATGACTCCGAATCATTCTGGTCTTTGCCAGGTCCTACAAAATCCTACAGGACCTGACTCCCTCTTCCCCTGCCTGTCTCCCTCTCCATCACTCCTCTCCAGCATCAGCAGCCTCCCTGGTTCCTCCAACATAGGACCACGCTGAGCGTACTCCTGTCCCAGGGCCTTTACACTTGTTCTTCCAATTAGCAGGACACTCTCCTCCTTGATGTTTGCCTGAAATCCTTCCTCATTTCATTCATGGATCCGCTCAAATACCACCTGATCAGAGAAGTTTTTCCAGATTATTTTCCCTCCATCTGCTTTCCAGCTTTCCTTTTCTTCACAGACTTACCATACACACACACACACCCCCTTTGACATTTTATTATGTATTTATTGATGTAAATCCTGATTACATATTTGTTGAGGGAAGGGACTTTGTTAACCACTATGATCCCCGGGGCCCCAGAACAAGCCTGGCCCATAGAAGGCCGTCAGCAAACACCCGGAGCAACTGAACGCTGAGCCTATTGATTTACTGCGCTTTCGTTTCATTGTTTATACAATTCCTCCCCCACTCCCCATAGTTAATATCTACCTTGGTTTTTCATTTAATTTGTTTTCTCTGGCACACACCCTCTAACAGCCTTTCAATCCAATTTTTCATATAAACGTATCAGATAATCTGCTGTGTTTAGAATTTCCCTCTTTGTCTGGGCTGCTATTACAGAATACCATAGGCTGAGTAATATATATATATATGTGTGTGTGTGTGTGTGTGTGTGCGTGTGTGTGTGTGTGTGTGTGTGTTTAAAGATTTTATTCATTTATTTTTTAAAGATTTTATTTATTTATTTGACAGAGAGAGATCACAAGTAGGAGAGAGGCAGGCAGAGAGAGAGAAGGAAGCAGGCTTCCCACTGAGCAGAGAGCCCGATGGGGAACTCGATCCCAGGACCTTGAGATCATGACCCGAGCTGAGGGCAGCAGCCCAACCCATTGAGCCACCCAGGTGCCCCAAAGATTTTATTTATTTATTTGACAGAGAAAGATCACAAGTAGGCAGAGAGGCAGGCAGAGAGAGAGGTGGAAGCAGGCTCCCCGCTGAGCAGAGAGCCCAATGCGGGCCTCTATCCCAGGACCCTGGGATCATGACCTGAGCCGAAGGCAGAGGCTTTAACCCACTGAGCCACCAGGTGCCCTAATATATTTTAAAGATTTTATTTATTTTAGAGAAAGAAAGTATGAGTGGGGGGAGGGAGCAGAGGGAGAAGGACAAGCAGTCTCCCTCCTGAGCACTGAGCCCAACTGGGGGCTCTATCCCACAAACCTGAGGTCACAACCTGAGCTGAAATCAAGAATCAGACTCTTAACTGACTGAGCCTCGCAGGCGCCCCAGACAGAGTGGTTTATAAAAACAGAAATCTGGGGCGTCTGGGTGGCTCAGTGGGTTAAGCTTCTGCCTTTGGCTCAGGTCATGATCCCAAAGTCCCGGGATCAAGCCCCACATCCAGCTCTCTGCTCCATGGGGAGCTTGCTTCCCCCTCTCACTCTGCCTGCCTCTCTGCCTACTTGTGATCTCTCTCTCTCTCTCTCTCTCGGTCAAATAAAATCTTTTTTAAAAATAACTTTTAAAAACAGAAATCTCTTCTTTTAAGAATTTATTTATTTATTTGACAGAGAGAGATCACAAGTAGGCAGAGAGAGAGAGAAGGAAGCAGGCTCCCCACTGAGCGGAGAGCCCGATGTGGGACTTGATCCCAGGACCCTGAGATCATGACTTGAGCCGAAGGCGGAGGCTTAACCCACTGAGCCACCCAGGTGCCCCCAGAAATCTATTTCTTATAGTTCCGAAGACTGGGAAATCCAAAATCAAGGTGCCAACAGATTGGTGTCTGGCCAGAGACCACTTCCTCATTCACTGACAACTGGCTTCTCTCTGGGTCCTCACAGCGTGGAAGGGGTCTCTGGGTCTCATTTTTAAGGGCACTAATCCCACTCTCAGGGACTCCGCCCATTATCATTCTTAGGACCTCATCACCTGCCAAAGGCTTTGCCTCCCAATACCACCCCCTGGGGGCCTGGGCCGTCAGCGCACAAATGTCAGAGCACGCGATATTCAACGCACAGCAGCAGATTCATCAGTTGTTAACACTTTACTTTATCATCCTTTTTCCTTATATGCTTATAGATGGATTTTTTTCCTGAATCCTCTGTAAACCAGAGGCACCGTGTTCCTTTACCCTTATATCCCCAGGACCTGGGCTTGCCCGCAGCCCTTTGCATCCTGGTGATTTCACCACGTGTGTCACATGAGGGTATTTCCGAAGGACAAGGGCATTCTCTTACAGTACAATTGTCCACTTGTTTTTTTAAGAAGGTAAAAAAGCAATGGAAAAAGAGACTGGGTGGCCCCAGCCTTTTGCTGTGAAAGGCCGAGCAAAGGACCCAGGGTAACACAAAAGGTCCCAGGAAGATAAAGCGTCTGAAAGGACACAGCTGAGGGTGGGCCCGAAAACAACATGCCTCAGGAACCCAGTCAGTGGGGCAGCGTGAGGATAGGCGGCACTTCCTGAAGGTCCCTGCCAGGGACATGAAGAAATCCACTCAGAAGGCCTTTGCCAGAAACTGCTCAGCTGGGTGCTCATGGGTTCTGGGCCAGCACAGGGAGCTCAGTCCCTGGAGGACCTCTGGGCTGAGAAGACTGAAATCCCAAAGGGCCCTGAAAGGAAGTGTCTCTTTGAAGAAACCAAGTTAACTAAGAAGAGGAGGACTCTGGCCTCTGGAGGTGTTGGAGTTCAGCTCCTTGTCGTCTCCGGGAAGACAGTCATGCCAGTGGGTCCTTCTGCCCAATAAAAAAGAGTAACATAAAGGCTTGACCTTCTAGAAAACTGCTTGATGGTATAATAGGAAGGAATGGGACAACAGGAGAGTAAAAAGTCTCAAAAACCCAAACAGTTAAACAAAATGTGGTACACACATACAGTAGAATATCAGGCAGCTTAAAAAGGGAGAACATTCTGGTGCCTGGGTAGCTCAGTAGATTGAGCATACGATTGGATTTCTGCTCAGGTCATGATCTCAGGGTTGTGAGATGCAAGCCTCCTACTGGGCTCCACACTGGGCATGGAGCCTGCTTGCCATTCTCTCTCTCTCTCCCTCGGCCCCTCCTCCCTTTAAAAAAAAAATAAGTAAAAAGGGGGAACATTCTGACACATGCGACAACATGGATGAACCCTAAGGATATTATGCTTAGTAAAATAAAAGGACAAATACTGTCTGATTCCATTTTTGTGAGGTACCAAGAGCAGTCACATTCACAGAAACAGGAAGTAGAATGGTGGTTGCCGGGCCTGGTGGGGAGTGGGGAGGAGGAGTTAGCACTTAAAGGTGATGGTCTCAGTTGTGCAATGTCAGCAGCGTTCTGGGTCTGGATGGTGGGAATGGTAACACAGTACACAAATGGACTCTGTGTCACTGAGCTGTGCCCTTCCCACGTGGTTAAGCTGCAACCTGTACATTATAGGAACCTTCTGATGTCGGACCATGTCAATGTACTATCTGAAACCCTAAAAAATAAAGTCTTGTCTCCTCTGTGAATTCTTCTGTGACTACCCCAGGGAGAAGTGATGCCTTTTCCCTCTGGCCTCCTGTTCATTGTATCAGGCATTTAGTGATTTCCTGATGGCACTGATCACCCTTCTCTGTGTAAAAGCCTGGCTCTCTCCCCAGGGCCTTAGCACCTCGAGGGAAAGGACTGTATCTCCCATAGTCCCTACAAAGGGGCCTTGGAGGTATTATGTTCAATGTTGGATGACCCATCAATTAAACACAGAGTTAAGTACCAGAAAACCACAATGGAAGAAGAGTGGAATGAAGCTGAAGGGAAAAGAAGAAATAGAGCATCTTGGTCGGTAAACTAAAACGTCGAATTATTTTAAGAACTTGAAGGTGG